GCTCACTCATTTTACACGCAAGAACTTGTAACAGCACTCATTTTAAAGCTTATGTTTGAGCACTATAAAACCCAATTTCACCGAAATGCATAAAATGTAAAACCTCGACACTAGATGTCTTTAAATACAACAATTAAATCTTGAACGAAATAAAAAACGACTTTGCTTTTTCAATCTTGCTTGCTTAAATTTTCCTAGAACACTTTATGTAATACCAATATATTAAGATTTTATTAACATTATTTTGTTCATTACACGATTTCCGTTAAAATGTATATTCTAGGAGATATTTGCAAAAAAAACGAAGAAAAACGCCAAAAATATATGAATCTTAAGTGGCCAGTAACTTGAAAAGTATTAGTTTTTTTGAAAAACTATAAAAGACATTTTTTTCTTATAATTAGTTCTTCTATCGATTTCCGACGTTATTTTGAAAAAAATGTAATTACACAATTGAGAGGGGGTGTCATCCCCCGGGGGGTGATGGCGCAACCCGAATTGTTTTCACTTTTGAACTTGAGGGTAAGATAACCTAATTCCAAAATTTCATTCAATTCGGAGCACAGTAAAAAATTCAGACCTTAAAACGCTCGTTTACTGCACTAGAATTAGAACTCTAGTTTATATTGACGACATAATAGTTTACGGGAAAACACTTGAAGAACATAATACCAAGTTACTAGAAGGCTAGAAAAATTACGACAATACAATCTAAAGTTGCAACCCGATAAAGTGTCATTTTTCGAAAACAAAATTACGTATTTAGGCATATTATCGGTGCACACGTTTGTGTGTCTCCTGATCCTGATAAAATTTCCTCAGTAAAAAACTTTCCCACTCCTTCCAATCAAAAAGAAAAAAAAATATTTTTAGGATTGTCCGCTTACTACCGCAAATTTATACAAAATTACTTCCGAATTGCATTACCTCTAACCGAATTATTAAAAAAGGACGCCAAATTAATTGGACCCAAGAGTGTGAATTGCATTTAATGAACTTAACAAAAAATAATATATCCACCTTTACTCCAGTATCCCGACTTCGATCGAGAATTTTCATTAAGCACGGACGCAAGCGGTTTTTGTGCATTAGGCGCGGTTCTATCTCAAAATGTTTACATACAAATACCGATAGTTTATCTCACTCATTTTTGATATTCAAGAATTAGCATCTAATGAAAATACTTCACCTATTCCTATCGATCCTAACCAAAGTTTTCTCTTCTATGCAGATGCAATTTTAATTCCGAAATTAATTTTGAAAATTTTTTAAATAATATTTAAAACCTCGGTTATAATTAATAACAATATCGAGGAATCGAATGAAGTTTTTCTCACATCCCTAAAACATGAAGAATCCGCATTGATATTCGTGATAAAAAACCAAACTCCCGATGATGAATTAACTAAATATTTCGATTTTTTCCAACATAGTAACATTAATAACAATTTGGCTAATTACGGAACACACGATTTTTTTCAACTAAACTACTCTCAAAAACAAATTTTTTACTCAATTGTAAATAACATGATTCCCAGCCAAACACTGAAGATTTTTCCATTGCCTCTTAAATCTAAAAGCTCATTTAATTCAAGAAAAATATTAAATCCATTGCTATTCCAGCTCCCGCACAATTTCAAAGTTTTTTGCCACATACCAATAGAAAATTTTAGAATTTTATTACGATACATTTTCAGAGACACCGAAATAAAATTAAAAATTTATTATGACAAAATTATTGAAAAACCTAACACCGGATGAGATAAGTAGATTTTAAACCAATTTCATAGATCACAATATACGGGAGGTCATCTGGGCCATAAAAAACGTTCAGCAGAATACGTAGCATACACAATGGCCAAAAAATGCGAAAAACAAATTAAAAATCATATGTAAGCAAATGTCCTGATTATCAAAAAAATAAAGTATGTAAGAAAACAAGGCAACATTTAGTTATAACGACAACAGCCCGCGAGCCTTTCGAAAAAAGGGTATGGGCGCATTGCCATACAGAATCGGCCCGACCCTGGTATTTAAATAATTTATACGCCATTTTATAGGTCTATTTGATAAAAACCGTTATACCAATTTTCAACTTTGTACCTCATCTTATGGCCGAGAGTATCATTGAAAATATGCCAAAGTGGCCCCTTCTTTCAAACTCACTTTTTGGCGTAACCATAAAAGATATCAAAAACATTTTTACGTGATTCTACTCACATTGACTCAGACCACATTACGTAGAACAATCGATTCCAAAAAATCGTTTACTATTAGCTGAAAAGACAAAATAATTTTCAATTGATTATTTCGGGTAGTGCATTTATTTGGACAATTTAATTAGCGTTATTCGAAAGTTCCAGTAATTGCCTTAAGGCACGATACACCACTAGTTTTAGTGATTTAATTAATATAGTAAAACTAATAATGTCTAAAAATTTCAAACTCCGTGAATTTATACATATATAACTATAAAATAAATATTTTCGCATTCAGAATTTCTTACGAATCGTTTCGGCGCATCGCGCAATGTTTGCGTCCGAACGAACTCTATGCAATTGCAGGGTACATTAGCGTTACGCGCGGGTATGTGTATGCTCTGTTCTTTTCAATTTTCCAATGTGTTCCACTAAATGATCTGAACAATATTAGCAGTACTCAAAGAAAAAAACAATAGGCTTTCAAATAACGCTAATTAGAAAGTGGTCCAAATAAATGCACTACCCGAAATAATCAATTGAAAAATTATTTTGTCTTTTTCAGCTAATAGTAAACGATTTTTTGGAATCGATTGTTCTACGTAATGTGGTCTGAGTCAATGTGAGAGAATCACGTAAAAATGTTTTGATATCTTTTATGGTTACGCCCAAAAAGTGAGTTTGAAAGAAGGAGCCACTTTGGCATATTTTCAATGATATCTCGGCCATAAGATGAGTACAAAGTTGAAAATTGGTATAACGGTTTTTATCAAATAGACCTATAAAATGGCGCGTATAAATTATTTAAATACCAGGGTGGGGCCGATTCTGTATGGCAATGCGCCCCTACCATTTGTATTGATGTTGCGGGCCTTTAACCCTGTTTCTGACTCCGGAAATAAATATTGTTGACATTTATATGCGACTTAACGAAATATGCAGGCGACATCCCCATTTGTAATCAAGAAAGTTCGCCAGTCGCAAATTCATTCGTTTCAGAAATTATTTTAAAAATTTGGCTTTCCTAAGGAAATTCTATCTGATCAAGGCCCCACGTTTACTAGCAATTTATTCAAGGACGTTTGCAAATTACTAAAAATTAAAAAAATAACAACTTCTCCGTACAGACCTGAGTCGAATGGCTCATGTGAAAGGATCCATAGGGATTATGTTCAAAACTTGAGATCTTATATTAACAAAACCCAAACAGATTGGGACAAATGCATAAAATTCGCAGTTTTTATCCATAATACAGCTATACATAACGCGACAAATTACACACCTTTTGAGTTAGTTTTTGGTAGGAAAATAGAATTACCACTGTCTATAGCAAAACCTATATTTCAATATAACTATGACACTTACGTTAATGAGTTAAAATCGCGGTTATCGCACGCGAATAGTTTCGCTCGACAGAATTTACTGAGTAATAAAGAAAAAACTAAAAGTAACTATGATCAAAATTTGAATCCTGAAACCTTTGAGATCGATGAGTATGTGCTTTTGAGAGATGAAACTCCGTATCCGCGGCGATGCAAAAAACTTTTGCCCCTATGGAAAGGTCCCTTTAAAATATAAAAAACCGACAGTATAAATAGTACCATTTTGATCCATAATAAACATGTACAAGTGCACAACAACAAATTGAAAAAGTTTATACCAAACGAGTAAAGTAACATAATTTTATCAAATTTTTTAAAAAAATCTTATTATTGAATTGCATTTGATTAATTTGAAAAATCTCATAGAATAATGTTAATTATCACATAAATCAAATTATCAATTAAATTTTATTGGTTAAATAATAATAATAAAAATAATATTTCTTTTCACAAATAAATTAAATCTAAAATATGTAAAGTAAATGTAAATCTAGAATTTAAAAAAATAGTCCAATTTATAGTATTAATGTCAAGGTTTAGCTAAGTGTTTTGATTTACTAAAATATAAATAAAAATTGATCTCTTTAGTTGTTATATCCATTATGCATCAACTCATAGTTATTAAGATAAAGATTTTAGTTATTAATGTACAAGTTAATTACAACCTGAAATTCGCTAATGTTATGTAATAAGCCGAGGACGGCTTAATTTTCACGATGGAGGTGTTGAGAATTGTGTTCTTTATAATTATAAATATTAGTCATAAGTAAATTCATTCGAACAATGTATAATCCCAAGTATCGGTAAATTTTGCGAATATTTTGTACATCTGCAAGACAACCCTTAATAAAAGTTTATGATAGCTCATGTACCCTCGGCGAGCTATCATGAAACTGGAAATATTGGAAATACTTTAAAAATGTAAAATTATAAGTTAGTTTACAGAAGAGCTACAAATGTTCCAATTCTCGTCGTTAAGTATTCCAAATAAAACTCCAATCTACTCAAGAAGTTATTAAAAATTGGTTACATTTAATCATTAATTAGTAAATTCATTACTAACGTCTCTTCAATATATACATATATATACTTTAATAAGATTTCTTATAAAATAAATATAAAACATATCAAATATTGATAGAGTAATGATTTATCCACACGAACTTATAGAGAATTGTTTTAGCGTTTGAAATTTTGACTATACATCATTAATAGTGATTCTAGATATATATGCTGAGATCGCGTTTTTGCTTTTTGTATATTTACTGAATATTATCTATTATAACTATAGGTCCAAATGTCTCTCAAAAGCCTGAAATTATTGAAATAGAAGAAGATGCACAAGCGTAACACATCATAGATATGTACAGCGTTTAAACAGAATGATGCCTTACAATGATTTATAAGAGCTTTTTGAGTTCTACAAGCTTGTAGACAAAAAATCATCCTGAAAAATTTGCAACAGTTTGAGCATAGGAGTTGTTCAATGAACAGATTCTAACTCATATCCGCAATATAATGAATGGACAAGATAAATAATAATTAAACTAGTGGGGTGGGTGGCATCGTGCCTTAAGGCAAATTGCTGGAACTTCCCGTACCGTAACGAAATGTTCGAGGAATACTGAATGTTTTCAAATAGATTATTATCAATATTGTAACATTGTCTAATATTTATAAGAATTATATAAACTGAATTGCAAAGTTGAAATTATTTGTTTAAAGTATATTAGAACTATAGTCAGAATTAAAAATAAAATCTGAATTATTTTCGATATAAAAAAAATAAAAAAAAAAAAAAAAATTGAAACAATTTTTTTTTCCAAAATCAATTATTTTGTTACGACAAGCAGAAAGTTCTTTGAATCATTCAAATCGGACGCTTAAATCTCTCAAAAACTGCCATTTTTTACATATTTAGCTCCGTATCTTCGAAATGGTTGGGCCTGCCTTTGCCAAAAACTAATAAACACTTTTTCCCAATCATTACTAATCGAATGTTTTTTAGATCATTCAAATCGGATACTCCAAAAAGTTCTCTCAAAAAGTCGATTTGTATTTTCTGCACTCTTTGCTCCGTATCCCCGAAACGGCTGAACCTGCCTTTGCTAAAAACTAATCAGCTCTTTTCCCTATCGATATTAATCGAATGTTTTTTGAACCATTCAAATCGGTTGATCCGTGCGCCCGAAAACGTGACTGGAAATTTGTATCCATACATACATACACACACACACACACACACACACACACACATCAATTTCTCTCTGAGGTATGCCAAAATGTTCAGAAACCTTTAAAACGTCGAGAAATGTAAAAATTTTCAATTCCGATTTTTGACCCATTACAATAACTTACCCTACGGGAAGTTAATTAACAGTAAATTTATTTTAATGTAATAGTATTCACTTATACGGAAAAAATTGCTTCGGGCACAGCGATGGCACATACGAGCGTGGTTTACGAACGATTTAAACATATGTCGGGGAACCACTATTTTCTACAATAATCGAATATCTTACCGGAGGATTAGATGTCGTCGTATATCTGCTTATGGTCGACATATCCCTTGGTGCATCCGTCAAATCTTCCTCTCCGGTTGCGTTACAGTTGTCAATGGCGATGTTGATGGGTGATTTTGAAACGTCGTTCTTCTGTTCCGTTCTAAGCAATTTGGCCGGTTCATTTATGTCCTCCTTCAGAGACCTTGCGAATTCGGGTGTAAAACCATTCGAGACAACTTTAGAATTTACCGAATTATCATTGCAACCCACGTTAAAAGCGCGCTGAGTGTTCAAATCATTTGTTTTTGTCTCCGTCTGCAATGAACGTGAAAAAATGTCAGTGATTTCATTAAAATTGAATTGACAGATACAAATTTGACAACTTGAATAAATAATACATCAATACTTTGAAACAGAAGTGGGAGTTGCTTCATACTAGATGTAAGTAGCATTTTGCCTTAAGGCAATTTGCATGAACTTGCCGATACTGTGAAAATAACTTAGTAAAACTTTGACAGAAAAATTTTCAACTGTTTATTTCAAAAATAAAAGTATTGCTTTTTGCAAACAAACTAATCAATGAATTTTGCAATTCATATGTCCCGAACAAACTTATAAGAAATGTAATTCAAGATGACCATTATTATTGTCATCAATAACTTAAAAAAATAAAATAAAAAAATACTATAAAAAAATTGAAGATGAAAGTTTGAATAGATATTTAAATATAAGGCTTATAAATGTAGAATCAAATAGATATAAATGATATGTATATATGAAATTTCATTTCTCTCACAATCTCTCTTATACCAGGCACCCCGCCTGACAGATGTGAAAATAATATGTCAATAAATAAAATAAAAATATTTAACTATCTCATTCTACTTATAGAGTCTATAAAAATGTATTTTATATAAAATATGATCGTCAATAGAAATCAGTACAAAACCAAAACAGAAATATATAAAGAATGTGTCCAAAAGACTATGTAAACTACTTTGGGGGCATTCAATAATCACCTGAGGCTTGAAAGGGAAATTGACAAGAAATTCCGAAATATTAGGTTGTCAAATATCTCCCTTCCGCTTTTTTACTCTTGGTTACATACAAAAAGGCGGAAGGGAGATATTTGACAACCTAATATCATCGTAGGGGAGGGGAATCCAGTAGAAAATTATGTGATTTTATTTATTACCTAAATTGAAAAAAAAATTACCACTTTTTCTAGGTACTAAAATGCCCCTAACACACGTAATGTTTGGTGAAGAAGGGGTAATTTTAAATATCACCATGTATTACCCAAGGGGATAGGAGAGTCCAAAAATCCTTAGAAATCGATCACATGATTAATGTACGGCCCCATTCTGGTAGTCATATATGTATTTGAGAATAATCGCTTAGAGTAAACCACCTTTATCACTATGCAAAATTTCATAAAAATCGACACCATTACCAACTGCCATCTTTCAAACACTTCTCTTTCAAATCGATTCCAGTTTTTTATCGAAAATGTTGACTTCCATATATATCTGCTAATTTTGAATAAAGTGCTCGGTCTATCGCCGCACAAAGATAATGATCGAGTTATATTAAAGTAAGGCGATTCAGAATGACTTGGAACGTCAAGAAAACCATAAAATTAGCAAATCCAATTTTCTGGCAAAAGAATATTTAAAGAAAACATAATTTTATGGAGTTTTTCAGAATTGGCGCCTTTACAAGCCATCAACTCATCTACAAAGAAGATAGATTCGAATTATGTATATGTAAAAAATAGAAAAATGATAAAAAAGTAACAATTAGCAATCAAGAAAAATGATTGCCAAAAATGAGGCGCAAACATTCCAACTTGTTAACCAAAATTGTAAAGACCTGTTCTTGTGCGGTTTTTTAGGTGTAAAATATAATCGCATCATTAATGTGTTTTTCATTAAATTCTCTTAAAGTTATTTGAAATGATTTTAGATATTATAGTATTATATTACCTTCACTTTGTCTTAAACACTTTCAATAAATATCCAAGAATTTGATATTAGCGTAATGCACCAATATATTTATAAGAATTACTAATTACTAATTAGTATGTAGTATAATGAATTTATATTAATTATTCTACACAATATCTAAAAGTTGCCATATATTCAAATTACGAAAAATTACTAAAGTTATCATACCGACGTTTCTGGAGGTGTTTTATATGTGGAGCGGCACCCAAAAATCGATGCGAGCAGTGTTGCATTCGGAAATGAATTCAGTGAAATATTATTTAAAAAAATAACTTAAATTTATTATAAATGATACATAGAAAATCTTAGCCAGTAATTAGTAATGGATAGTACTGTCCTATGGCAGGTCCGTGAGCTGAATTAAACTCCAACTCGATTCAGAGAAGAATAGTGTGAGAAATTTACACAATGCCATTTCTCACCGGAGTGCACAAAATGGGCTATTTTCAATTTGAAACATATTTTTGATCTGTATTTTCATGTGAAAATTGACATCGCTACTGCTCGATGTGGGGTTGTCCAGAACGGGGTTCGAACTCACGACTCCTACACCATGAACATTCTAGTTTTATTAACTAAATCAAAATAAAAAGTTCCAGTCCCACTTTATGTTGCTATTTTTAATTGTAAATTAGCGAAAATAAGAAATCAATAAGAGAACAAAGAACCTCCAAACAAATTTTTATACGGGGCCGAGCCTCAAGGTAGATTTTTATTAATTTTAACAAAGGATAAAACTATGACCAAAAACTAGTGGGGTGTATGGCATCGTGCCTTAAGGCAAATTGCTGAAACTTCCCGTTCCGTAACGAAATGTTCGAGAAATACTGAATGCTTTCAAATAGATTATTATTAATATTGTAACATTGTTGAAATTGAAGCAAAGTTGGAATTATTTGTTTAAAGTATATTAGAACTATAGTCAGAATTAAAAATAAAATCTGAATTATTTTCGATATACAAAAAACTAAAAAAAAAAAAATATATAGATATATATATTTTTTTTTCCAAAATCAATTATTTTGTTAAAACAAGCTGAAAGTTCTTTGAATCATTTAAATTGGACGCTTAGTTCTCTCAAAAACTGCCATTTTTTGCACATTTAGCTCTGTATCTTCGAAATGGCTGGGCCTGCCATTGCCAAAAACTAATAATCACTTCTCCTAATCATTACTAATTGAATGTTTTTTAGATCATTCAAATCGGATGCTCCGTTCACTCAAAAACTCGATTTCTATTTTCTGCACTATTTGCTCCGTATCTCCGTAACGGCTTGTCCTGCCTTTGCCAAAAACTAATCAGCTCTTTTCCCTATCAATAGGAATCGAATGCGTGCGCCCGAAAACGTGTCTGGTAATTTGTATCCATACATATATATATACACACACACACACACATCCATTTTTTCTGAGGTATGCCAAAATGTTCAGAAACCTTCAAAACGTCGAGAAATGTAAAAAATTTCAATTCCGATTTTCGGCCCATTACAATAACTTACCCTACGGGAAGTTAATGTACATATATAAAATTTATATATATGTACGTATATAAAAAACTGAAAACTTTTGAAGAAACGGCTTATTTCTAATTATATTTGTTGAGAATCTGATTTGAATGATATACCCTGATGATAAATTATAATATTGCAGCCCTTGCAAAAGCTATAACAATGGTTTGGAAGTTTTGGTTGTCGTTTTAATCATAAATTCAAGCAAAATTTCCTATACATGAGTAAGAAGTTGTAAATTATACAAAAAATACACCCTTTAAACTCACTAACAAAATTCGAAAGTTTTACTTGATGTGTGAAGCTTTTAAGTAATGAATGCCAAAATTGTGTTTTTATTTATTGATGTGGCGCAAAACTGAAAAGTTACTAAAAAAGTAAGGATATTATCAAAAACATCAATAAATAAAATTGAAGATCTACAAAAGATCATATTAACCATAGATATGTTGGCAGAATTTTATGTCACATGGGTAAATAAAATAATTTATTTGTAATAAAGAATCTAATTTGAATAATATACATCAATATATAATAATTCTGCATTCTATAAAAGAGCTACAACACTGCTGTATACACAAGTTGCTAACAGCCAGGTAATGGAAATGATCAATTTCCCGTTTGATTACAGTGATAAATAAATAACGTTGTTATGGTTAGCAAAACCACACTATTGATTCTCATAAAAGAACTACTATTTGATATTATTCAAGATAACAGATTTATATATGGATGAATCACTAATATATTAAAAATTATATTATATTTATATATTTTATAAAGTTACATTTAATGGCAAATCCGCATAGAAATAATTTGTACTTGTAATTGTACCAAAGCTAGCCTATTATAGTTTTTTTACACTGAGTTTTCATAAGTATTACTGATCCAGTTGGTATATTTCTCACATACAACAAGAAAGAAATTTCACTGAAAATACCATTAATTGTTATCGTAAATACCATGCATGTGAAATATTTATGGCATTTATTTCACTCAAAAAAATTACACATTGCCTAATTAGAAAATAAAATCTCAATTTTACCTAATCACTTAGGTGTAACCAATTTTATGTTTTATTAAGTATGTCTACTTCTAAATTAAATGATTATGTTTTAATCGGAGCTATATAAGTATTGAGAACTTGATTAATACAAAATAACTTCATATACCATTCGGGGTTGTTTTACTTAGAAAAATTCCATCAAATAAAATATTGACATATTTGATTAACTTTCTGATTAGATTCCTATAACATATTTTCGATATGATATGGTACTTAACTGAAATCAAACCAGTAAAATAATCATTTAGATATTTAGAATGTAGTGTAATTTAATTGATAGCATGAACCAAAATAAATTTTTCAATAAGGTAACTTATAGTACATTTATAATATATATATATATGTTAAACATATATGTTATATATTAACTGATGAAGAAGACAAAACACGGTCACGGTTAACATTTGTAACCTAGTACTTTATGAAATAAAACTAGTGCAAAAATACTGAGTAGTGTGCCCATATTTACATAATTATGCACATCCCTCATAATACAAAATTCTACTTCTACCTTAATATATACATATACCTATAATGAATGAAAAAAGACAGAATGTCTATAAACAGGCAGAAGAGTGGTTCCTCATCAATAAAATTATGTTGAAAAAAAAATCTATCTCCATCAATTTCACATCCAGTGAAAGTAGAAGATACATAGAACTTCAAGGCAATAGTTGGGAATAACAATGGATAGTCTGCTGGCCAAACACAAAGATTTATTATGCGCAAGGCTTCCTATGGAAAATTAGATCCATAAGAAATCAGGAAAGGGCCAAAGAGAGCTATTTTGTTATGTTTCATTCTAGATTCTCATTTAGATTAGAATATTAGGTTGAGAACACTATCCTTACGTTTGCACATTTATGGATCTTCAGAACAAAGCTGTGATAGCGATAAAAGGTGCTTCATCTTGTAAGGCTTGTAAGCTGCTATTGATGAAATATAATATTCTGAGTATCACAAACATTTATATTTGATACAAAAAAACATGGTGATAAAACAAATCATATACTGAAAGTAAATAAAAATGCTGTGATGAAATCAAGCTTAGATATCACTGAGAACCAGACTTTGTAGCAAGATTTATAACAAGATACCTGATGGATGTGAAACCGATAACAAGCTTAAAATTACAGTCATTTGTTAAACAATTCAGCTTATCTGTTAAGTGGATATTTAGGACACTTATGTAAGAAAATATTTTTCAAATCAGAATGAATTATACAATCACCAGGTTTTCTTCACTTGGATATATAATGATAATTATTTCCAATTACTTTTCCAAAAACAGAATAGACGTCTATCCGAAATAAATTAGTAAGTCAAGTATACCTGAAAAACCAGCCAAACAGGCTTAAAAGAAAAATACAATTAGACCTAATATAGAATAATTAACTATAATACTTTCATTTTGTTATATTTTATTGTGTTTTCCTTTTGTTTTTAGTTTTTTTTTATCATATTTTAATTAGCTCTAGTAGATACATCACTGGGGGTTTCTACTAATTCTTAATCAACTTCAGTTTACCATAAACTTGTCAGCATTCTGTGCTAAATGTAATAATATATACAGATTGCAGAATAAAATTGAATTGAAAAAAAAAAAACAATTACTAATATATCTTGATATGAAATAAGATAAAATTGACCAGGTTTTGCAAGTTTTTTTTTAAATGAATAAACAACTGTATTCATACTTAAGGCGAGAGTCAGATTTATGAAGTTTGGCTATGGCACAATAAATATATTTCAGAAAGAAGAGTTCGACTAGAGATAAAGATGATGTTTAAGTAATTTGTGCTCTTTATACTTACATCAAATCTAATAATATAAAACTATAAATGTAATATACATAAAACAATGATATATACGTAAGACTAGACTTTAAGAGATTGTGTAGATATCATGTAATTTAGTATATGGCTAATGTACTAGTTTATAAAGCCAATAAATCATAAATAAAAAAAAAGTAATTTGTCATCCATGTTCTACTTTATCAATCACTGTAATAGTTTATAATGCAATTGCAAAATGACTTATAACTTGTTGCGATATAATTTGCATCTTCTATTGAACAAATTATTTCTCAATAATTTAGAGTCAAAAGTGTCATAATCTATTCTAAAACAATAATGCTTATTAATCTTCTGTGAAAAATGTGAATACATCCATTTTATAGAATAGAATCATCTTAAATGTACTGCAGATGGTAAATGTCGTAACACATTAGTAAGATAAATCACGATTAGCTTAAGATTGTATTTCATTTCAATTTTTGGATATACTCAAATAGTATGTTTTAAATTTGAAACTGAACTACATTTCAATCATTTGTCAAACAATCCATAATATTTGTTAAGTGAATATTTATGACTATTAAGTAAAAAAAATATTTTCAAATTAGAAACATACAAGTGTACATTTTTCTAATCAGAATGAAAAATGCTTTTGCTAGGTTTTCTTCACTTGGATATATATTGATAGTTATTTCTAATTACTAAATATGTCTTGAGATGAAATGAGACAAAATTTACTGGGTTTTGCAATTTTTATAACAAGTCGGTTTAAGACACCAGTAAGATTTATAAAGTTTTGTGCCATGACACAATAAATATATTTCTAAAAGATGAGTTCGACTAGAGATATAGATTTGCAAAATTCTAAAATTATGAATTAATTTAAAAAGTAATTTGTCATCCAAGTTCTACTTTATAAATCACTGCAATAGTTTATACTGCAATTGCAAAATGAATTATAACTTGTTGCGATATAACTTTTATCTTCTATTGTACAAATTATTTCTCTATAATTTAGAGTCAAAATTGTCTGACAATTTTGACCCTCTAATCTATTCTAAAACAATAATACTTATTAATCTTCTGTAAAAAATGTGAATACATCCATATTATAGAATAGCATCACCTTAAATGCACTGCAGATGGTAAATGTCGAAACACATTAGTAAGACCAAAACCACGAATGGTTTAAGATTGTAGCTAGGGTATTTCATTTCAATTTTGGATTTACTCAAATAGTATGTTTTGAATTTGAAACTGAACTGAATTTTCAATTATATAGCAAAGATTGCAAAACAAACAGATTTGCAAAATTCCGCAGTGTCAACTTTTATACCTGTGGTCAAATGAATCAAGATAATATAGTAAAAAATATTACAATGTTATCAAATAGTAATTACATGCCATTAGATTATTACTGAAATATATACTGTGAAAAAATGTAATATTTATATTGTCAGCTAACCTCATTCTCTCCCAGCTGGTTTTGAAATCTCATTTTATCCTTCAATAGTTTTTCTCTCTCTTCCTTTAAAAACATCTGTATGTCCATGGTGCTGTTCATTTTCTTCCTAAAATCGATTAACACTTTTCGCTAACTTTGGGAAAAATTTATGTAGTGGTTTTTCACTTTTTGTGTAAAAAATAACGATTGCAACCGTCACAGAAATGTCGACCGACATGACGCAGCTCTGAGCTAAGTGTCGATAGATGGAACAAGTGTATTTTTGCTTTTACAGGTTGGCGACACAGCAGTGGTTTCCAAACTGCGGGTCGAGAGGAACATGCACGGAGAACCTGCAAAGGGTCACAAATATAATTTTAAAATACTATTTACGAATAAAAATCAAACTAGTGGGGCCCATGGCATCGTGCCTTAAGGCAAATTGATGAACTTCCTGTACCGTAATATAAAATCTCGGTACAAAACCTAAAAAAATTACACAAAATGTGTACACATTATTCAAATCTTTATAAAAAATCTGATAATTGGATGTACATATGTCCAATAAACATTTTAACCGTCAAAGGACATTTTTTTAACTTATTTTTATTAAGAGTTCATAACCGCTAGACCTGCCTTTCCAAAAATTTAATCAATTCTTCAATACAAGTAAATTGTTTTTTGAATTATTAAAATCGGACGCTCCGTTCTCTTAAAAACTGAGTTACGGTTTTCGGCACTTTTTGCCCCCTATCTTCGGAACGGCTAGACCTTCGCCAAAAACTAATCAGCACGTCTCCTCAATACGAATCGAATGCTTTTTGAATTATTGAAATCGGTTGATCGGTGTTCCCGAAATCGTCGACGATAGTTTGTATCCGCACACACATCCATTTTTTCTAAGGTATGCCAAAATGTTCAGAAACCTTTCAAATGTTAAGATTTGCAAAAATTTTGATTTTTGATTTTTTTGCGAATATTATAACTTACCCTACGGGGAGTTAATTACTATAACTTATATACTATACTTACCCTATACACAATATAATAGTCGAGTTGACTCACCCTACAGAAGTTGTCAAAAAATGAGTTAATGGTGCATGGCATCGTGCCTTCAAGGTAAATTGCTAGAACTTCCCGTACTGTAATGAAATATTTGAGGAATTTTAAATGTTTATAGTATGAATGAAAATTGAAATCCGAATAATTTTAAATATCTAAAACAATTTCGAAATTAAAAATAATTTATTCGATTTTTTTTTTATTTCTTTTTAAAATAGAAAACAGTTTGCCAAAAAAAATTTATTTTGTGGTCTGAATTGTGCAAATTCTAAATGCTCAGAAATAATACTAAAACTGCTCGAGTTTAAAAGACATATACATAAAATATAAATTTATTTGCCTATATATTTGTACAAAGAAAATTCGGTCAACATTTTATAAATATGTAGAAGAATTTTACATAAGTAATTAATTCTGCATTGTATTTTTTCAAATTTACAATAAGAAAAAAATCCTTACATATTTTTACATAAAAAATAAACAAATTTTGCCCTATTATGGAAGAGAAGCAGCACAATTTCCACACTTTATGTATATGTATATATGTGTTATATATATATATAAATATATATATATATATATATATATATATATATATAATGTTTTTTCTTGATCCTACAGCATCTTCTAAGTTTTGTCATTTTCATTTCTTTCAAAGAAGTTCGTCAAAATTAGAATTTATACTTTGTTTTGGGTCATAATCAAAAAATGGTACAATTAAAGTAAGGCTCTATATGGGCCAGAAACGTGGACTCAAAAAAAAAATTATAAAAACTACTTTGGAAGTTCAGTTGAAGAATAGATAAAAGGAGATTTAAAATGGACCAACAAGGTAACAATAGCAAAACAACTGCAAATCTTATTGGATTCTGTTGTCAAAGAAAAAGAAAAATACATGAGCCCATTGTCTCAAAAAAAAAACAGAAAGTTGTCCTTACACAAAATGAAAACGAAAGTTATTAAGCAAAATTCCAGTAAAATGCAGAAAAATGACCTGTTTCAGCATTGAAAAAATTGTAAAAATGTGGTACTCTTGTTTCAAGAACATGGCTTCAAGTAGAGCATTAACAAAAATAATAATAATAGTAATATACATATATATTTTTATATATAAATATATCTAAATTTATGCTTTTTATACACATATGTATGTGTTTTCAATATGTTCTGTATTATACAATATCTAATAACAAAGGTTTCATTACTATCTAAAATTTGGTATATTTTGCATATGATAGTCTTGTAGTTTTAAGTTAAATAAATGTAAATGTGGTGCCTCAAATAAACTATAATAATACATAACATTTAACACACACGATTCAATTACAGAAATAACAATAAATAAAATTATTATGTACAAAATCTTCATAACATTTATGACATTTGTTAAAATTATCTATAAATAATTGAAGATAATAATAAAGATATATTATATATTTATATTTGATATAAAAACTAATTATTTATGAATTACTCAGCTTATATGTAAAATTTCATATTAGATTTTTAATAAAATTTCAATTTAGTAAAATATTTGAACTGGTAATACATATTATCACCAAAAACTGGCCATTGACTTAGTCAAAATTCTTAAATTAAGATAAACATTCTATCTCACAGTCATATTACTAACACAACCGATCGTTAGCAAATTTTTGATAGAGGTCCATTATTATAATATAAGTTTTTCTTATACACGGCTGCCTAATACACATATCAGCAAAAGTTTTCATATTGAAAATGTTCATTGACTTAAATATATTCACAAAAATATTAGCACAGCAAGAGCGATCACAGTTCCTGATAAGTCCTTTTCATAATAATTGTTAAGGTGCAAATCTGTGGAAAAAAAGTTTTTTATATAAAAAAATATATTAATTGATATGTACTAATAAGATGAAATGAATAGAATGAGATGATTATAATTCAAGTTATAACTTAATTACATATAATTATTTATAATATTATATTATGTTAATTGCAATATTATATTATATGCATACAAGGAACCCATACTGGATTTTTTAAGAAGCCCGGATTTAGATATTTTGTTCTGGATTATTCAGTTTTCTTTCAAAAGAAGTTCATATTTTCAATATTATTGTAAAATAGATTTCAAATAGAATTACATATTTTTACAATATTCGAACCCTAAAAACTGTTATATCGAAATTCACGTCTTGAAATAAACACACTAAAAGTTCCACCAGTTTCAGTTCATAAACAACAATCTTAAGAATAAGTTAATTCGAACAAAATTAAATTTAACATAATCCTTCTTAATAATAATTATAATTCTCTTTTAATTATTAACGGTTTAATAAAATATTTCATAATTGCATATAGTGAAGTCCCGGATTTCCATCTTGAGTCCCGGGTTTTCTAAAAGCAATATTTGTCCCGAATTTAGTTTTTATGTTCTAAATTGCGCCGGATCTCCAAAAATATAAGTTCAAATGAAATCTTTGCAATTACTTAAGTTTTTACCTTAATTACAAAATATCCAATATATATTATACGTTACAACTATAACATAATGGATATCAATTAAGAAGATAGTTTTAAGATAACAAGTATGCTTATCAATATGTTAAAAGTGAAAATGAATCAATATTTGTGAATGAGAAAATTATCGATTACAAAATTTCAAAGGCGGGTTAAAATAGTCTCTCACATTAATAATTGAAAACAATTTTTTTGACTACCTGGCAAAAGTAGTAACTTTTTCAATTTAATTATAAAGAGAATTGTATAAAATGTTATACAAGGCTCAACACATAGATCCAAAATTGTAAGATTTTATATAAAATATAATGGAATCTATGTTATTTCTAATAATCAGTAATTCTTAAAATAAGGATCATTTGAAGAAAACTGATTTTTGTGCACCCGTCTCGGATTAGCATAAGTAAAGAATGCTGTCCTGGTTTTGACTTAAAAAATATGATCACCTTAATGCAATACCTTAAGGGAGTATTCTAGTGTAGAAATTCAAAAAAATCTATTTTTTTAATTCATATTTTCAAAGTTTAACTATCTAAGAATATGGGTACGAGAAGGTTTTTGAAAATTTGAATTATTTTCGGAGATATAGGCATTTTACTGACTCGGTCTTCATACTGGTTTGGCTTCACGCAAAACATTAAATGCGTTTTTCTCAGAACCGACTTTTTCAGTACTATTGACACAATTTCTCGTGTTTTAATCGACTTGAAATGTTCAGAGAGTCTTGTTTATAGACCTATCTATAGCCCGAACTAGAATTATCCCCCAAATTCCAATTTTTACTATTTAAAAAAAAAATCGAGAAACTAAAAAAAACAGTAGAAAAACACTTTTTTTTCAAACAGTCGCCAATTCGTAAAAAAAATTTTTTTTTACTCATCGCTAGTTCGGGCGATCGCGACATTATTGTAGATTAATAATCTTTTTATTTTTTGCATTTTCCGATGGCTAGGAGTGCTGAAATCATGTCAAGACTGAGGTGCTAATTTTTTGAGACCACCCACTTCATCAGCTGCCAGTTTTTACAATTTTCAACTTTTTTCATTTTTTAATTGTTGTTTTGTATTTTAATAATATTAATAAACAAGTGGTAAAAATGGATAGTAAAAACATTCATTACATTTGTTTACGTTACTTTAAAAATGACCTAAAATTCATCGCTCTACACTAGAATATCCCCTTAAGTTATCCAAATAAGATGAAAAATACAGGAATTTGCTAATTGCAGTTAACAACCGGCTAATTTTAATCAAAAATTTTGGCAAAGGATTAAAATAGAACGACACAAGATATTTCAAAAATCAAGTTTTGTTGTAGAATGTATGAGTATAAATATTTATCAATATAATCAAACCTCTATGGTCATGAGCCATCTTCGTTATGTACTACAGACGTGTCCGATTCTGATCTATTGACACATTCACGAACTGCTTTTAATATTAGACCTATTCTCCTATCAAGGGCTTCCAGGTGAGGAGCCCACAAAACTGGTGCTACAGGGTCAGATTGCATTGATTTTTCCATCAGCTCACTCAGACGATGAGGCCCGGTATGAAACCTAGAAAAATTAATAGAAATTAATTAATATAGTGTAGTTCATTCGTCCCAGACCGTTCCTTAAATACATAATTTAAACTAATTTAGGAAATCTAACAATAAGCTGCATGGAGTGCAGTCTCGGAATATAATTGAGTAAATATATCACTGCACTCGCTCGCCTAATTGCAAGTAATTAGTGTAAACAATACGCTTCTTCGCAAAGTTAAACGAATATTCAAGTGAAATCCATTAGCTCCAGACCTGCGCGCTATAAAAGGAAGCTCCACAGAGAATGGAAATGATATTAAAAAAATAAACTAAATCATAGTTAAATATTCTGAGATCACGAAAAGCAGCGAGATATTAATATTAAGGGGCACAACTAGTGCAACCGCATAAAAAATGTGATTTTTGGAATTTATATTAAAAAAAGTTTATCAAACATTTAAAAATTTTAAGAATATATTTACACATGTTTTAAGTTATTAAGTTATCGTCGATCTCCAGCGGCGCGAAAAAAAAGGCCCTTCACTGCTGCAATGATTCCGGCCTTCTACGTGGATGAAATTTAAAAAAAAAATCCCATTAAACTAGATAATATTGTCTGTAAAATGACCTACGATAAAAAAATAATAAATTGACAAAATGGCGGCGTTTAAAAAAAAGTCGAATTTTACCCAAAATTTGGCCAAAATTCGATTTCTGAACCGATCAAAAAATCGATAGTTCATTTTACGGAGAACTATATATAGAACATGTAAAAAAAAATTGATAGTGATCGGATCATTTGTTTTTGAGTAATCGCTGCAGCAAATTTGGAAAATGCTGTTTCGAGAAAAACGCGTTTAAAGATAAAATGTCTCTTTAAATGGCTGTGACTCAAAAACTATTTAAGATATCGATTTAAAATTTTGGTATGTTATTTTTAAAGGTAAAACCTATCCCTATCGAAATATGGAAAAATTGAAAATTCGATTTTTTGAAAATTTCACACTAGTTGTTGCCCTTAATATCACAGCAGACTATTACCCACTCCTTCTTCTAGATGGACAAATAACATTCCTATTGTTAGTAATATTCAGTTTGTATAGTAATAATATTACTTAAGTTCATATTGATGCTTAGTAATGTTTGGTTCGTTCAATATTAATTACAAACTAGTGGTGTACGGTGCATCGTACCTCAAGGCAAATTGCTGGAACTTCTTGTACCGTAACAAAATGTTCGAGGAATATTAAATGTTTTCGAATAAATTAGATTAAATACTGTAACATTGTCTAATATTTATAAGAATTAAATAAAGTGAATTACAAAGTTAAAATTATATAATTAAAGTATGCAAGTGAGCTTTATAACTTTAGCCAGAATTAAAATTAAAATCTGAATTATTTTCGATATATAAAAAAATTTTTTTTTTTAAAAAATTGTTTTGTCAGCACAAACAAAAGTTTTTTGAATCATTCAAATCGGTGAGCACTAACTCTCAAAAACTGTCATTTTTTTGTATATTTAACTCTGTATCTTTGAAATGGGTGGACCTGCCTTTGCCAAAAACTAATCACCACTTCTCCCAATCATTACAAATTGAATGTTTTTTTGGTCGTTCAAATCGGATACTCCGATCTCTCAAAAACTCGATTTCTATTTTATGCACTCTTTGCTCCGTATTCCGAAACCGCTAACCCTGCCTTTGCCAAAAACTAATCAGCACATCTCAATTTAGTTTCTGGTGGAGACAAGTCCAGCCGTTTCAAAGTTACGTGCCAAAGACGGTAATTCAGTTTTTGAGAGAACGGAGTAACCGATTTGAATGATTCAAAAAACAATTGCTAGTATTGACAAAATAAAGAATTGATGAAATTTTTGGTAAGACAGATCTAGCGGTTTCGGAAATACAGAGGAAAAAGTAAAAATAATGATATTTGGCGGACAAAAATGATCATTAGGTGAATGACCATCAAATTATAAGATTTTTGATATTTTTTTTTAAAATGAGTACTAATTTTGTTGGGTTCCGTACCAAGATTGTTAATATTTAAAGTCTAATTACACGGTTCATGTAAATTTCAAAATTTTCAGAAAAAAATTGTTTCAGAATTTTCAAAACTATACAAAGTTTCATACTTCAAATATTATTCGGCACCTCTTGCTAATGTAAACTTTCTCAAGTGTTTTGAGCGATAAGATCGTCACTGTATATTTTGTGAACGATAAAATATATAGTGATTGATTATGATTATAATTATCTATTTGAAAATGTTTAAAACAATTGTTATTAATAATTGATCAATATTTATTGATTACTGTTTTTTTCCTCGAATACTTAATTCTGTTATAGGAAGTTCTAGCAATTTGCCTTAAGGCACGATGCCATGCACCACTAGTTAATGTTATATTTTTATGCAGTTAGATTTTTAATGACGACTTCTCAAACAAATGAAAAATTCAGACAAACCTCTGACGTAGTTAGAAATCAACTTTTTAGCCAGTAATCCGTCGAGTATATATATATATATATATATATATATATATAAACTTATATAATATAATGGGCTTACCGTAATAAGGTTTTCAACGTCGAACTTCTAATCTCGCAGCACTGAAGAAGTGGAGCAAGGATGCTCAATTCATCATGAAAAGGCTGTCCAAAACCTCTGCCATGATCCAGATGTAATGGAAAAGTATTGTTTCCTAATCAAGGATTTAGTTAAGTTCAGTATTAATCGATTCTAATATTTTAATTATACCATTAACTCACCGAAAAGTTTGAAGGTTTCATAGTGATGTCTGTCCATATTACCCATTAAAAAATCAAATACTGCCATATCGATTAAATCTAATAATCGACGCCCTTCGTCATATGGTGGAATATCCCGAACCTGAAAAACAACAGTATAATGAAAAACCTTATCAAGTATATTATTTAGAAAAAAAATTATTTTATAATATATACTACCGTCGAGCAGTAATCTGCATCAGTCTCCCACTGAGCTTTCCTTCGTTTGTGGTATGATCTTCTCCAAGGATGCCTCCAAACCTAAAATGCAATTTTAAGTCGTGAATAATAATTCATAAATTTTTTTTAATTACACTGATTGAATGTTATGTAAAGTACTATAAATAATGTAATTATTTTACAAATTAGTACTTTACCTTCCTGGCGGCGCGATCATGTAACGGCAAAAAAGCAGCAAAAGATCCTTCGAGAGTGTCTGGATTTCCACATATAGCATGTGAGGTATCACAGTAATATGAACATTTTCCATGGAAGCACAGATTTTTGGAAGGTGATACGAAGAATGTCTTCAAAAGTTGCTCGTCTGCGAGAGCATAAAGGTCTGTGGTCATATTTAGGGTTCGACCAGTAACTGGCATGGCTCTGCGGAAGCCCAATAATCTAAAAAAATAAATCTCGATAATAATATAATAATAGTCAGTGGTGTTGTCGAGCCGGAACGCGCCGGAACGTCGTTCCGGCAAATCATTTTTGGGAAGGAACGCGTTCCGGCAAGAAAAAATATAAAAAAATCGCTACATACAGAAATGATTTAATAAGTAAATTTTATAAATTATTATTCAACTATTTTCTATTAAATGTTCTTAATATTGTAATAAACATACATATATGTGCACACAATGGGTTTTGTAATAATTTTTGTTTCTTTCCTTTTCGAACGGAACCGGAAAAAACATGAGAACCGGTTTATGAACCAGTTTTTAAATTTTAGCGTTCCGACAAAAAAATATTAGCACAACACCACTGGATTTATCAAAGTCGTTTATAATTTAGTTACAAATTGAGGTGTATGAACTGAAATATAAATTACAATACAGTAGTATATTTCAAATTTCACATATGTTACTTTAAGACCGAAAAGTGTCTGATGCCCGATTATTTCGGATATAAGTTGGACTTGTTTCGGACATAGCGGACGTTAGTCGAATAAAATAAATAATTTAAGACATTCATTTAATGAAAATTGATTGTAGCGCAAAAAGCAATTCTATAAATACAAAAGCATAAGAACAGCAAAAAATGTAATATTTTAATAATTGGTTGAATTTTTTGCCATCTAAGGCAAAAATATAAGCTGTTCGATCGCTTGTAAATTTTTACAATCCAACATTTATTGGTAATTTTTTTTAATCATTGTTTTATTGACATTTATTTATTGGTAAATTAGTTGACAATTTATAGCAAAAGAGTTACCTTGATATTTTAATAGACTTGTCTAAATTTCGGCCTACAATTTGAGATTTGTATGCATATTCCTAGAAACTTTGATCTTATAAAAATCTGATAAAGTGCTGTCCCATGTAGAAATTAATATGGTCTGAATCTACAAGCAATATAAAATCTACATTGGTCAAATTTGAAACCAATATCGGCTGGTCATAAAAATTGAACATTTTTTATATTGAGGCCATATAGGTAAACCAACATTGGTCTATATTGGTCTATATTTGGAAATTTGGAACCAATGTTGCCTACAAATTGTTGAATGTTGGTAAGGTAATATACAATTAGACAGAGAGCTGGTAAACATTTAGAATTATTAATTATTGAATTATTAAATTATTCTGAAACTTATAACTGATGTTGAAATATTACACAAATATTTGAAGATTTGAAGTTGAAATAATATAACGCATAAATCAATGTCATTTATTTAACAATAAAACACCTGAAATTTATTTATTTATTTATTTATTTATTTATTTCTGAAATGAACATATACGTAAATTTATTAAGAATGTTTTTGTGGAAATTCATTTATTAAATATAAACAATGATACAAATATATAACTGCATTAAAAATATGATTATTTATAAAACACAAAAGTGTCATAAATATTGATTATTTTTTTAATAGATATTTATTAATACATATCAAGTAAACTTTTTTTATAACAATAACAAAAGCAAATAAACTTTCCTATTTATAACATCATCACTCGATAAAACATTTCACAGCATCTGAACATATTTTATTTGTTGTTAATATATTTATTATCCATTATGAAATATTTATTTCATCGTCTAGAACAGTCATTGGAAAACCTACCTTACATTTGATATATATCAAGTAAATTATAATCGAATAATTATTCTATTATAATTTACGTGATATATATCAAATGTAAGGTAGGTAAAGTAATAAAAGTAATAAATGCAAATTAACTTAACTATTTATAACATCATCACTCGATAAAACATTTCACAGCATCTGAACATATTTTATTTGTTGTTAATATATTTATTATCCATTATGAAATATTTATTTCATCGTCTAGAACAGTCATTGGAAAACCTACCTTACATTTGATATATATCAAGTAAATTATAATCGAATAATTATTCGATTATAATTTACGTGATATATATCAAATGTAAGGTAGGTAAAGTAATAAAAGTAATAAATGCAAATTAACTTAACTATTTATAACATCATCACTCGATAAAACATTTCACAGCATCTGAACATATTTTATTTGTTGTTAATATATTTATTATCCATTATGAAATATTTATTTCATCGTCTAGAACAGTGACTGGGAAACTTTTTCAATCATAACCCCAAAATATTTTTGTCCAAGTTTGTATTGTCATCTGAAACCTCGTATTCCTTGTTAATAAATTTATAATATATCATTATATATTATCAATATGAATAATTTATGAAAGCGTTAAAATGAGATTGTAAAATGCACTCGACTCTACTTTTACCTTAAAAATAATGACTTCATATCATAGTCTAAAATCTTGCTATGCAAATGTACAGATTTATTGACATTCCACATTGCATTTATTATAATCAAACATTATGACTATTCTGTCAAAATTTATATCTTCCTTTCTATAACTTATTTAGTTACAAACTTTTGATGAAAAACTTTTCGATAACATTTTACTACTAAGCAAACCAGTTTCTCTATTTTCTGCGCTTACAACAATATTACCTGAAAATAAATAAGAATATGTTTTAAATGCAGAGACATATAATTATATTATAACAAGTATTGTCTTACCTTTTATAAATATGAAAGTGCAGTATGTCTTCACTCAAAAAGATTAGGTTATGTTATATTTATTATGTTATATTTATATGTTATATTTTATTATATTTCACATAATATGTACAACTGATTTCTCAATGTGTTTAAACTCCTGATCAATATAAAAATCCTTAGTGAGAAAAATAAAATTATCTTGCATTTCTTACCATTTTTATTGAAAACTTGCAAATTTTGACATTTCGAATAGCTAGTTTCCGATTATTTATTAGAGATACTAATAATAATGTAGTTAGCAGTAATTATTCTAAAAATAAATAGCTATTAGTTACAATGCATAAACGCATAATTAAGTATTATACTCACCAATAGTAAAAAGAATTCGTCTATTAAACTAAGGTTATGTTAGATATACATAACTTATTACTTAATCTATCCATCCCAAATCAAATCAGATGACGTAAAATTAAGTTGAACTTTCAAACCTTTGTATTTTAATCCAAAGTAACAACAAAGAAATGAAATATTGTATATTTTTCAGAGAAATGCTTACTTAACCAAACTTGTTTGTGGTATATATTTCGCACCAATGCACATTACACACATTAGAAAACAATGTACACTATAACACTATTACACATTACACATAACTGAAAATATTATTCGATTATTTCCAGCAAACTAGTATCTTAAAACATACTATAATTAACAATTTTGCATTAAAGGCGCCGTGTGACGCGCGTCGCTTCTTGTAGGCATACGTCATGCATAGAAGGCATAGAAAGATCTAGAACCTTATACCTGCGGTTCAGGATAGTGAGTTACTACAACAACAGATTGTATATCTTGGTGGTGTAATGGCTAGCGTCGCAGCCTTTTGATTTTGATTTTTTGGGGTTCAAATCCCAGTCCATTTATTATTATTTTTTTATTTTATAATTGTATGAGTAAATAAAATTAAAGTTTTCAATTAGTTTTATATATATCGGACAGTATTTAAAATAAATTACCCTGTAACATTTATAACTTTTTTATAATGAAAGGAAAACTGAATTTTTATACTATTCTCAACATTTGAGGTTTTCATAAAGAAACCGTATAAAGTATTATACATCATTAGAATCGTCTCAAAATTCTTAGTTTTTCTCTTCCACATATCACAACTTAGTATTTCAAACGGTTTGGCCTATGGGCGAGTTGCAGTGCTAAAATTCAAGAAAAATTGAAAAATCTGAAAATAATTATACGAACACACATATTGAATTATATATCATTTTATTCGTAATTTTATTCCGCATCTTTTTCGTCCGAATAAACTTTTTACGTATCTTTTACCTTTTAATTTGTAAGGGTGAATAATTACATGTTAAATATTTACAGCCATATATATCTGGCGTATGTTGTTTTCGTTCTGTTGAGTCGATAGCTAAGCGCTAGCGTTGCCGACTCTTAACGTCGTAGTCTCGGGTTCGATCCCAGATAAGATTTTTGTTTTTCATTTTAAATATAATAACAATAATTATGATTGAGGAATTTGAGGAAACAATATTTATTATTAATTAACATGCAAACAATATTTAATAGTCCATTATAAAAAATGTTGCATCAATATTCATTTTTTATTTTGAGGACAATATTTATTAGCTTATGATAAAAAATATTGCATAAATATTTATTTTTCAATTTGATGACAATATTTTGTACCCGATGATAAAAAATGTTGCATCAATAATTTCATTTCAATTTGTGGACAATATTTATCAGTCGATGATAAAAAATGTTGCATCAATATTTTTATTTCAATTTGTGAACTATATTTATCAGCCGATGATAAAAATATTGCATCAATATTTATATTTCACTTTGGGAACAATATTTTGTAGCCGATGATAAAAAAATATTGCATCAATATTTATATTTTAGTTTGAGGACAATATTTATCACCCATAATAAAAAATATTGCATCAATATTTCTATTTTATTTTGAGGACAATATTTATCAGCCGATAATAAAAAATATTGCATCAATATTTCTATTTTAGTTTGAGGACAATATTTATCAGTCGATGATAAAAAAATATTGCATCAATATTTATTCTTCTATTTGGGGACAATATTTATTAGCCGATGATAAAAATATTGCATCAATATTTCTATTTTAGTTTGAGACCAATATTGGACAAGGCCATTTATAGTGATTATTGCCTCAATATCGGCTGACGTTGGCCTGATCGATTAGTTGACATCATCACAGAACCGACGTTCGCCGATATTTTTGCAATATAGGCAATCACGGCCACAGAAAACCGATATTGGTAATATATTGTACCGATATTAATTTCTACATGGGGTGGGATTGATGATCACTCAATTATTGATAGT